AAATTAGCGCGCGCTGAGTACCGAAAATGCTCACACCGCTCAACAACAAAGTCGACTCGCAAGTTACAAAGATTTTTTGAAGCTAGTCGGCGGCAACAAAGAAGATATTTGGCAACGAATAGTCACCGTAAATGACATATGGATTCGCCACTATCCTATACCTTTAAATGAGCAATTCTTGAATATATCGAATTGAATCTCGGAAACGGCTCCAACGATTTTCATAAAATTTAGTGTACAGGGAGTTTCGGGGGCAATAAATCGATCTAGCTAGAATTTATTTTTCGAAAATATCTTTTGTCCGTGTTTTCAGGCAATGAAAACTGCTACAATATAAGAAGGTAAATTTTGACACTGTGTTAATTGATCTTAATAGCTCAAGTGGATATCGAGCTGTCGCGAAATCTTAATACCTTGGTTCGCGTCCTGTCTTCGGTCCGAATTTTTTTCTTTTTTTTTTCAAGTTCCCTTCTTTTGTGAGAAAATCTATCATTTCGAGCCCTTTTTTAGTAATTTTTTAAAAATACGAAAATTTTAATTAAACTAATTGCACTCATGATTTTTTATTCAAATAACCAGTTCAGTTTTTTCTATTATGTCAATAAGATCAAAAAATATTATTCATCAGTATGTAATTTGTATCTAAATGTAATTTAAAAAAAAACCGAGCAAGGCTCGGTCATCCGGGAACTGATCTAGAGTTCAAACAAGAGTCTATGCAATGGATAAAAAAGAGAAAGGCCGCCGAAGAAATTCAAGCTGGAAAAGTCGGCGTCCAAGCTAATGGTGACTGTTTTCTGGGATAGCGAGGGAATTTTGCTTATCGACTACTCAGGGGAACTACAATGAATGGCCAATATTACGCCAATTTATTAACTCAGGTTCTCGAGGCTAGTGTACAGAAACGTAGTGGGAAACTGACACGCGGAGTGCTTTTTATGCAAGACAACGTGCCCGTTCACAACGCACATGTTGTAAGGCAAGCCTAAAAAGACACAGGGTTCTGGGAGATTGATCACCCTTGTTATAGCCTAGACCTAACACCTAGCAATTTTTCCTGTTTTCCAATTTAAAAATGACTTACGGGGCTGGAGATTTGCAGATGTCAACGAAATGAAAGCTGCGGTTGATCGTCATTTTGAAGAGAAAGATACAGAATATTTTTTGGATGGGTTAAAAGCATAGTATGCGAGATGTGAAAAATGTATTTCACTTGAGGGAGATTATATTGAAAAATAAAAAATTGAAATCATATATTTTATTTCATAAGTACCTTAGGCTGCGGAATTATCAGCGGCGAAGTTATCATCTCAACGACGACTGAACTAGACCTTTACCAACACCACACGCGCACCGCACCCACTCTTTGAACTACAGTTTCGGTATGGCTGTTAACATATTCAAAACACAAAATAAAATGTAGTAGGCAACTCTACAGTTTAACAAGGTTGTTAATCAACCACATAGAGTCAGGTTAGTCAATTGAATTAAGCTTGGCTTTCAGGCATTCCTCTCAACCAATTAAAAGTTAACAACTTGTTACTACAAAATATTTTTCCAAAGCATTATTATTAAGACAAGTTTACATTCCAAATAATCAATTTAAAAATTAAAAAAAAATCAAAATTATCTGCCCGCGACGCCTAACGCCGACAGCATACTTCTATACAAGAACGAGAGGCACAGTACGCCTTCATCATACTATTCGAAGTTTATATGGTGGTGATAACAGAAACATAATCCCACTTTTGATGTAGGCAAAGAGGATCATCTTCAAATTCACTCATGATGATGGATGGTGTAAATATGTGCCTGCGTTACAACACAAAATACAAGAAAATACAATAAGCAGATCGTTAGCAATTCGTCACAAATATATGGAAACGTATTCCCGATGATGTTTTTCCCAAAGATCCTGTAAACAACAACGGTTACCACATTACCAACGATACGTCACTTTAAGAGTAACACCTTTTTACACTTCACCTAACCAGTACTTTATAGACTTCCCTACATATATATATATATATATATATGGGTATGACTAACGGCGACTACGGAGGTATGTTTTAACTCTCTTATAAAAGCAATGATTACAGGAACACCCTCCAGCAATACAAAAACACGTTCCAACAATGATGACCAATTTCCCAATTATTATATAAAACTTTTAAATGTTATTTATCTTGATTATTTAAATATATTCGACTCGTTTTTCTATTATTTAATAGATTTTGAATATTTTAAGCAGAGTTTTAGTAAATTTAACGAATTTTTAGACTAATTTTTTTAGCCTTTACTTTATTATAATAATTAATCTTCGAAATGAATGTATTTTAACTTTATGCTATACTACGAGTATAATATGTATTTTAATTATTTCAAATATTACTTTTAAGATATTTTCAGACGATTTTATAAAGAAATTTATTATTATTTATTAGTTAATTAGATTTCTTCATCTTGTCATCACATCTTTCATCTTATTTTAATTCTCAAACCTCAATTCAATGTATGATTGTGTTATTTTCTTTAACGGCGATTTTTGTAGTTCGAAAATGCTAATATCAACAATCTCCAATGTTAATAACGTTTTTTAGAATTATTTTATATAGCTCCGTTTTTTTATAGAATATTGATGACAAACGAGCACACAGTACACTTGATGGTAATTGGATGCTGTGGACCATATAATTTTTTTATTTTATCTTATTTGGGGAGCTTACAGCTACATTTACAATCTAAATTACTCTATTAAAACTTATATGCCAAAAAAAGGCTTCCACATAGAAAACATCTACATTTATGCTCAATTAAAACTCAAAATGCAGATGCGTGGTCACTCCTGTGGATTGAGATGGATAATACTTCGTCAAAAAGGACAAAGCGGTTATTTATTCTTATTTAAATATATGTATCTAACATTTAGATTAGAATAAATTTCTATTACATGTAAAAGAATGATGTTTTATCGTAAATACCCACATGAATACTTATTAAAAATGTAGACAATTTTGCATTCAATAAATTTATATTTATTAAGGAATATTGTATTTAAGTATACGCTATCAATGTATCTTTGTTTTTGTTTTACTTTTGTTTTGTTTTTTTATTTAAAACGATTCCGTGGAGCAGTGGCTTAGCAATGAGTTGCAACGGACCCCAGATCCGCGGTACAGAATAAAGGCGTTTTTTTAATCATGTCGCCGCGGGATCGAATCCCGCACGAGACAAGTATTTCTATAGCCTACAAATAATTGTTTAGGGTCAGGATGTTTATCCTTTTGCAATTTATGTTGGTAAACTGACTCTACGCTATACAGGAAAAATCCTAGTGTGTTGGTATGGTTTAAAAAAAGTAGTATATAGTAATAAAAGAGTAATCTAGTATATGTAAAATTGTAATAAGAAACGCCAAAGCTATAACTTCTTTTATAATAACCAATTTTAAAGATTCCTCTTTTAACAAAATAAGCTTTTACTTCAGGGCTGGACCAATAGAAGTTTGAAGAAAAATTTTTATCCCTAAGGGTGGAAAGTGGGAAATAAAGATCTTAATATAACCATTTTGATGACATTCTACTAGTTGTTTAGTTTTATCTAGTTAGTTATCTTTCTAGTTATCTAGTTGTGTAGTTTATTGATACGTTGAACTTGTGATATTACTTTGTCACTCAAAAGGATGTAAAAGTTAAAACCAGCTTCAAGAACTAGAAGAATAGAATAATTTCCACGTAATAGCGTCTGAAGTCGGAATTTTTATTCTTCGATAAATCATTTAAGCTTATATCTTCACAAATTGTAAACCGATTTTGATGATCCTTTTTTAAGTAAATAGTTTACCTATACTTTTATAGTAGACTAATTTAAATTTATGAAAAAAATTAATTAGATTAATTTGTAGATAAAGTTTTTAATGTTTTTTTTTCTTTAAATTTATAGAATAAGGGTGACAAGCACACAGTCCACCTGATTGTAGTGGATCATGTGGTCCATAGAGATTAGATTTTATTTTTGATTAAGAATCAAAATGCAGATGCGTTGTCACACCTGATGACTAAGATAGAATGTTTTCAGTAAAAAGGGTCTCCGGTTTTCTAAATTCACCAAACAAAACACAGTAGCATTATGCTGCTATTTTACTCCAGTTATGACAGTGTAGTCCTACCCTGGTCGAGTCAACGCATTCGTGCTACAACCATAATATACGTACAGCGTAGCTCTACCACGTATAAAACGTACTATGTTTTACATATGTAACTAATTACACTACAGTCCAGTTGTTAACTTGTGCTTGTTATATGCATTTGTTCACTCTATAAGCTACTAAACATAAATTTTGATAAAAGCAAAAACCAACTAAAAAGAGTAAAATGTAATTAAAGTATGAAAAAAAAACATTTTCACATATTATCTTCTGAATTCGGGGCTGTAATCTTTTTCACCACTTTGTCGTAGCACCGACTTCTGTTATTGTTGTTTTTAGTTCTTTGAAGAAGGCTTTTAATTTTTATTGATTTTCTTTTTATTATAGTCCATGTAAAGCAGAAAATTAATCTGTTTCGTTAATAGACGGATATGCTGACTTCATCCTGACCTCTAAGGTTCTTTGAAAGGAGCTCTTTGACGCTGCTAATTTTTTAACTTCGTCCATAGATCGTATGGGTGGCAAAAATATATGCCCTTCAATAAAATCAATAAGGTTTATTTTATCAATTAATATACGGATGAAATTTACTAATCAAGATTTATTACATTGAAACAATTTTACTACTTCTTTTTAGTTCAATTTAATATATTTATTAAATTGAAACAAAAAGAAACTAAGATAATTTACTTATATCAAAAGTACATTTATTTAATATAAGTTATCATAGAATTAATGTAATTATAAAATAAATACTTAAATCCACTAGTAAACTTGTTGTGACGCGAGATAAAATAGCTACGGTAGGTAGTATTTAACGAAACTGTTCATTTACATTTTGTAATTACACAATATGAGTGTAAAAGAGGGTCTGAAAAATAAAAAATATAAATTGGTGCCACCAGACGGAGGTTGGGGTTACATGATATGGATAGCCGTAATACTTAATTTGGTAAGTGATTTAGACGATATTGAGTGGCTTACGAGTTTCGTTTACACCTTAATAAAACCAAATTGTTTAACCAAAATACTTTTATTTATTTTTAGTAATTAATTTTCATTTTCATAATAGACAAACATTAGCATTCGTATCTATACATAGAGATAGTTGTAGGTTCCGTTAGGTAAATCTAGACTGATCTGCCCGCTAGACGAGCCTATGGGCAGATCTACTAATGTATGCCTAGGTTCAGGCTTAGTTTTATCGGCCTAATGCTTGCACGCTGTCAGCCTTTGTAACTTTCATAAACGAGCGTTTAAGTAGTAAAAATATTTTAGAAATGGTTGTAATTCATCAAACATAACATCTTTTCATACATTTCTTATACTCGTAATAAACGCTATATTTGCGAGCTTTAAAAAATTATGTGGCCTTATTTTTATTAGAAAATTTTTTATTACGAAACAAAGTAAACAAAGATCAACTTTCGAAGAACTATTTTTATTTTTAAAGCGTATGCTTTAGGTGAAGCGCTTTTGAAGTATGTGTGAATTACTAAAATACCTTACAATTTGGGTACTATATGCAGTTTTAAGATAGTTTATTGCCGCAATAACACGGCTTGCCGTCCAACTTTCAAGCACAATTAAGCATTTTATGAATCAGAGGAAATGGGCATCCATTTTCTAGCTCATTAGGAGGAACAAAATAAATAACAATGTCCAAGGATGGGCTAAAGAAAGTATAACGATGCTTTTAAGATTATTATGGTAGATATGTTTTTAAAATTGGACACAGTAAAAAATCAGTTTCTGGCCTACTGAACAACATCAGACTAGGAATTGATAGCAGTCATAGGTGATCAAAAGTGTTACTTTTGGAGACTCAACTAACAATTAACCTTTCTCACCACCTTGTTATTACAAATTACAATGTTATGATTCATTAACTTCTAAATATTTTTGCGTGGCATCTAATAAGAATAACTATTTTTATCAACCTTTAATAAATAATATTAAAAAAGGCCTTTTTTAATATTATTTATTTTTCCGAAAATATCTATTGTAAAGGACACTCCTAAGGAAGTTCCAATATATATATGCTTTACACTCAAATGGTACATAAAGTTACCCACCATTTCTTAATTGCAATAATTTACAGAAATTAACGTCATATAATATGTCACCTCTTAGAGTAGAGAATATAGATGTTTTAATAAATCTTGAACATCTCAGCTCCACTGGCACAGAGTATCAGAAACTTTTGGACTACAGTAAAAGAAGGTGGCTTGCTTTAATGCCGGCGCTTGAGAGAGTTTTTAAAATATTTGAGCCTTTGAAATGCTATTTCTAGAGCATCGAAAAATGTCTAAATATTTTGAGAGCATTCTTTGAAAATCCCAGCTTTCAGTTGTGGTTATATTTTTGCATGCAGAAGTAGCGGCTTTTCATTAAGTCGTGTTGAAAATCGAGGGTCAAAAGGTATCTGCAATAGAGACTTCAAAGGAAATTAATCGTCTACGAGATAACTTGGCACTTAAAGAGAATTCTCTTTTTCTTTCTCACACTTTCTGTAGTCTACTAATAAAATTACAAGAAACTCATCAGGGGAATGTGAAAACTTCGGCGGCTGAATTTCATAAGAATGCTTGGAGATGTGATGTCAGTTCAATGCAGAACTAGAAGTATTCTAATGGACCAATTTGGTATAAGTACCTACTTGATAAGAAGTACAGAATTTGCTGATCACGCAAGGATTTCTTAGTGGCAGTCAAGATACGGAAGTGTTTGACGAGTTTTCACTTATTTGCAGTTACACCACAGATGCAAAAGTAACAAGCTGGAATGGTGAGAATGTTGCTGCCGAAAACCGTTGGGTGGAATTGTTCACTCACTTCCGAGCTTACAATCTCAACTGTACGAGCTTTCGAATAATTACTGAGTACGTTTTATGTCTGCCTGGAAGTAACGAACCTGTCGAAATAGTTTTTCTTTCATTAATAAAATATGGACAAGTAAAAAAACACAGTTGAGTGTTGCAGTTTAGAAAGCTATATTGATCACCAAGACAAACATCAACAAATTATGTAATCAGGTCCATTCTTACTTGAAAACGAGGCCCGATAGCCTAGAGACGTTACATTAATAAAATTCATTCATTGATCTGTTTTATTAGTAAACAGAAAGCAATTAAAAAGCAATTAGTTCTTATTTTGTTCAAAATTCCCCGTTCAGAGAGGTGTCCCGCTCTGACGAAAAATATAAATGGTCACTTCATTAATAATACAATAATTAGACCTAAACTCGTCATCGCTCATAGAAAAAAACTAAGTCCTTAAAACGCATCATTTGAAGCTCATTTTATCTTTATTTTAATTTTTGATTACAGTGTAGAATAATAGACGATTGATCGGATCCAATCGCTTGGAATTTGACGGAATATCGCCTTGGTTGGATCCGACCGTGTGCATAATGAAGGGTTAATAAAATTTTGCTAGCAGTCTTTTTTTCATTTAATTTTTTCTTTTTGTAAAATAAATTAAGATATGCGTTTATTTAAGTAAATTAGATTTTTATTAATAGGTTGTATTACTATATCTATACATATGTAAATACTAAATACATCCCTCATAAGTACATTAATTATCATATCACATCAGATCAAATTAATTTTAAAGATTAAATCTGAGCTGACACCGCATTCTCAGTGTTAATTTACTTGTATATTAGTTATTTGGCATTTGTTGTAATGTAAAGCTAGATGTTTTTGACAAGCATTGATTCTTTGAGAGGGAACCAAAGAAATGATTCACAAATATGATGCATAGGTACGTAACCGTATGTATCATGTTTGTAAATATTATAACTACTTATGAAACTAAATGAGACTTAGCCGTTAAACAAAAAGACAGTGATAACCCAGCGTTAGTAGGCATTTAAGTTTCAAGCGGCGCGGGAGTTATCCCACTAATCTATTTTTACTACGACTCCAGTCAGATAATTAAGCTAGCATTTTTTTATTAAGAACTATCCGCTCTTCTCTATCTATCAAATATTTCATCCAAATTCTGAAAAAAAAATTTCGACCTGCATATAATTTTCAAATTGCATTAGAACTTTTTTACTATTACATCTTACATTAAATATCCTAAAACAAAACAAAACTATTTCAACAAGTATTTATAAAAAATTATTTACAGCGTTACACAACACACACAATAGCGTTAAAAAAACTTTAACATTCAATCTCCCTGAGTGCCTCGGGATTGTAGGTAATTATTTTACGCAGATAGCAAGAGTGACAAATGGCTGTTACATATTCAACATTTTACGGGTGGCACGGGGTATTACATCTTAGTCCTCAGAGTTGGCGATGCATTTGCAATCTGTAGCAGTTTGTTAGCCTTGTGATCATAAATATCCATGGACCACAATTTACTTACCATCAGGTAAGTAGAATTAGGAGTAGAGTAGAATTTTCAGCAAATTTGTTTTTGCCATGGTATAAAAAACTTAAGGAAGAAATACAGTGTGGTATTAAATTTGGCTTGGTACTTAAGGAAGAAATACAGTGTGGTATTAAATTTAGCTCGACCGCACACACACACACACACACACACACACACACACACACACACACACACACACCGCACACGCACGAGCACGCGCACGCCGCGCACGCGCACGCGCACGCGCACGCGCACACGCACCCGCACTCGCACACGCACACGCACACGCACACGCACACGCACACGCACACGCACACGCACACTACACGCACACGCACACGCACGCACACGCACACGCACACGCACACGCACACGCACACGCACACGCATCGCACACGCACACGCACACGCACACGCACACGCACACGCACACGCACACACGCACACGCACACGCACACGACACGCGACAACACGCACACGCACACGCACACGCACACGCACACGCACACCACACACACACACACACACACACCACGTACGCACACCACGCACACACACACCACGTATGCGCGCGCGCGCGCACGCACAGACGCACGCACACACACACGCACGCACGCACACATTTTGTTGTTGTTTTTCCTCTTTTTAAATTTATATTATATTTCTTTTGAAATACATTTCTCATGAGTACGTACTTTCCATGATTCTTTGTCCGGTGGTGGAAGCCTGGTGGCTGTAGCACAGATAAACCTAGTATTGTCACCTGTCTCTACAACTGGTATTTGTAAGTTACTTAAAATCTTAGATGTAATGATGTTATAAATAGCAATTTTGTAGAGAGAAAAATAAAGATTATTATTACCAAAATTAACCAAATCCAGGTAAACCTGTAATTACAAAAGTACTTCCACATATAGCTTAAACTCTAATCTGTCTAGGAAACCTGTAATAAATAAATCAAAAACAATCTGGTCTAAGTTCACAGTTAGTAATTTGTATATTGTTATATATATATATATATATATATATATATATATATATAATTATACTACAATAAAGCTCACAATATAACATATCAAATAAATGAGAAAACATAGAGGCACGGCGATATAGACCGTATGCCTTTGCTATTTTGTACAAAACTACTTGTAAAACGATATATCAAGACTATTGCTCCGTAATAGCGACAAATCGGATACAGACGCGGTTGCAACTAGTTTTATTGTACGCAGAGGACCACTGTGTCCTTGGACTTATACTTTGACAAAGGAGAACGCCTGCGTATGGCTACTCCCGTCCGATACGTCGGCGACCCGTGTTGCTTTATGGTTTACACCGATCGAACCAAACTTCAAAATTGACAGATAGGCTTTTGGTACACACGAGCTGTTATTCACCCACAGAAGTCTCTTTTTATGTAATCCGACCTCCCGAAGATAAGGCTTCGACTGATAATAATTTTAATTCGTGGGTTGGTTGTTGGTACTGTCTAAACAAACCTAAAAATTGATTGAATTATCAATCTTGGATACCTAAAAGTGGATTAAGATCGAATACAGTGGACCCCCGGTAATCCGGTCTCTGTCTAATCCGGCACCTCTGTAATCGGACAGTATTATTGTATTTATTATTGAATATTTTTTGACAATATTTGCTAATGCATGATTGAACAAGTTATAACTTTTACGCTCCACCACTATTGTGCTCGATGCGTAGGGTATAGTTTTGATTCCGATTGAAAAATTTGATTCTGAAAATGATTGAAAGATCATTATTTTCCTCAAAAAGCGTTATTGCTTCTTGATAACGCTCTTAAATTGATGTTTATTAAATTAATTGATTCGTAATTTTTTATCATTTTAGTATATACATTTGTTTGTAAACAATTATTACCTAACGTAAAGTTATATTTTTTGAAAGTTCTATAGTTTTAATGGCGTTAATTTTGTAATAAAACGTAAGCTCTCTACTGTGTTATTTAATTTACTAAAAGAGACGGTTCATTTCAGGCCCAGTCTATGTACACTATACCGTAAATAAGCGAAAAATTCAGGGATTTTGTTAAAAATAAAATAATAGAATAAATCAAACTAAATGACTTGCAAAAAATAAAAATGCAATCCCAATTTTTATGATTTTACAAGATAGCGCTCTTCCAGTCATAAAATTATATGTTAAATGTCATGCCTGAAAAGTGACTTCAGTGATGAAATAATGTGGGTAGTGTGATATTTTTCTTTATTCCGAACTTGTTCGTGCAATTGTGAATTCGGTTTATGGTGTTTCTTTTGAATTTCTTTGGCGATTTGTTTTTTTTTTAATTTGGACTGTGGATCTGTTATTACTTGTTTGACGCGGCTTTCGTTTTATGAACTTAAAGATTTACGTGATATTTTGATTTAATTGATATCGGACATCTATACAATCACATTTTGAATCACTAGGCATCAATCACCTCGTAATAGTTGACAGCTAACGTCAAAGCGATATCAATTCGCCAATAGTGTTGCAGTTTTTGGTAAGAATAAAATATTTATACCACTGAAATATAGGCAAATTCGTGGATTTGAATGACCAAAAGTGGCGTAATATATTATTTTAATTTATTTCCCCACTTGTACAAAACCAGGTCTACGCTTCATAAAAATTTGGACCGTCTCCTTTAACATACATAATGAAGTATGATTTGTACTTCAGGCAGGCTTGTAATTTTTGAGATTGCAAGGTACTTTTTTATACAAAATTCCGGACTGTAGGTGTCTTAGGTAGTACTCTTTAATCTGACAAATTCGATAGTCTAACACTACCCTGCAAAATGTTTGTCGGATTATCGGGGGTCCACTGTATAAAATTTTGGCGTTTTCTATACGTATATGGCTCTAGCTATTTGGTAGAATTTAAAGTATTTTAAATTTATCTGTTATAACAAAATTTCAGGTAGCAACAACGTCATTTACAGGATGTTTTGGAATAATATTCCATGAATTATTTATACAATTAAAAATGGGATCTACACATATAAATTTATTAATTGGAATAACTTCTATCTGCTTTGCAGTCTCTGGTGAGAATTCAATATTTAAAATCAGTCGTTTTAGTAAAAAAGCAATGTCAGATTAAAACAAAGCTTATGGGTTGAAAATAAAAAACCAAGTTTTACCAGACAAGGCCCATTTCAGAAAATGCTAATAGGTATCAAGTGATTTCTTCTTTTTAGTTGTGTATCAATAAAACACTGCAATTACTTTATTGTTCATAATGACACTTTTATCGTCTTTTGTTAGTAATTATACCTTATATTATATTCAATTTAATAAGGATAGTGTTTATGATATTTCACAATTGACATATTGAAAAGGATAGCAAATCTGAGATAGAAGAACTCGCAAATTTGCCAATCCACCAGACAAATATGTTGACTACGGATTATACTCCTAACTGAAAAAGAGACAGTATGCTAGTAGTAAACACTGCTAAGTGGTAAACAGCTGTTTACGGGCAGATGTGGGATGAATTCTTGAGTCCACAATTTTGAATAATAAATAGATAGCAAAAATCTGCAAAGTGATGGCGACGTTACAGAATTCTTCACCTCATTTTTGCCTTGGATATTTTTTTATACTTCCTGCAGTTTAGATGAATAAATTGCACAAGCACAATCGTCTATACGGTACACTTATTTATAGTCCATACAAATACTTATTCCGTGCGTGCTTCATCGTCGGATTGCTATTATTGCATGTCATTAGCTGCGCATATACGGAGATAAATATTATAGCACCCGACAGATGGCGGTAAACCACCTTGCTTACACTAAACGTAAAATACCTAGACCGATGATGGGCACCAAAGTCAAAAAAACCGACGTCGACGTTGCAATATTCAATACACACATTGAGTGACGATGAGGCAATGTAACTTTAAGAACTCATGAATAAGAGGAATTAGAGTTTATATTACAAAATGTCATCAATTTAATTACAGGTTTTATGACAGGACCTTTACTAAAATTTATAAGTATGCGAAAAGCTGGTTTCATAGCCGCAACTTTTCTGAACCTGGGATCTTTTGGCATAATTTTCGTTAATTCTCAATTAGCTTTATTTCTTTGTTATGGATTTATGCAGGTATTTTATTCTCTTTTTATTGATATATTTTAGTTTATTTATCAAAACACTTAACCTTTGTATTCGTTTACAGGGCGTTGGAATTGGTATATTGAATAATATATCGTTTTCTAGTATTAATGACTATTTTGTGAAGCGACGATTGTTGTCATTTAGCTTGATACAAAGTGTTACAGGTATATATGTGCATGTTTACATTATTTAACAATCACAAATATTTCTTTCATATATCTTTTTTAAACTTGTGTTTGTTAAAGTTATACTATTGCTATTGTAATTCTATTTTACTTTTGATTTGTTTATGTAATTTTCAACTTTTCAAATCGGTTCGACAAAAACCACAACATACTGCATATACTAAATCAGCGCAAGACAGTACTTTATATTCCTATTGCGAGATATCTTGTTTGTTATCAGATATTCTTGAGTTAATAAACGAGCAAAAAAAAAAACTACGTCACATACGCTTTTTCTCGTATATAATACCAATGAAATGAAATGAAAACTCCTTATTATTCGAACCAAGAAATTAAAATTTCGTTTGACAGTGCAGGCACAATTAAGATATAATAAAAACATAAGTTTATTTTGGTGATGTAAGTTTTGATAATGTACACAAGGTAGACATAGAAACACAAACAAGATATGCATATAAAAATTTATAATAATCTAGCATGTAAATAAAAAAGACGCACGTCTAAAATCATAGATATACTTACTATGCGAATTTACAATTACAATGTGAATGGTTACAAATATTTACAAAATTTATTTAAGAAACTACTTGGAAGTGACTACCTCATCCCCAGGGGTTATTATCAACTATGTACTCTTTTTATATTGTAATAACCCTTTTGAAAGAGTTTTTATTTAATAAAATATTTAAAATTGATAATAAAGTAATAATGTATTAACTTTAAGTTGACATCACTGCACTACACCAATGAAACTATTTAACTGACAGAAGCCCAGGTTACAAAATGCTGAGTGCGTGTGTAAGAGTTCTCCGCTAGCAGAGCATACAATATTATAAGTTTAGACAAGTGATTAGTTTCCTCTAAAGAAGTTATATAGCCAATTGCAAGGAAAGAGCTTTAATTGAATCTCTGGAGTAATTCTTGACATCTCCATGAAAATCGATTCTTCGATTTATAAAAACTTCTTTTACTTGTGTATAATATAGATACATCGCACAATGTAATACTATCACAATTTTAATTCTTTTAAATTACAAAAAATTGAAATTAAGATTTATTCCAATTGCATTAATCGTGTGCTTTATATCTAAATTTGAAATTTTTACGACACTGTCTTTAATTAAGTGTATATTTATTTTTCTATTCTAATTTTACGAATAATAATGTAAAGGTACGTTTGTGTGTATTTGTTTACATTTACCATTTTCAGTTGTGGTTGCTTTTCTATCACCTCAGTTGGTCAAAATCACATTAGAGGTTTATGGACATAGAGGAGCATACATCCTACTAGCGGCAATAAATATGCAGACATTTGTGGCTGTGTTCCTCATGCAGCCAGTGGATTTGCATTTGAAAAAAATTGAAATGATAACGGTTGAGGATAATGGTAATATATTTTTGTCACTAAGAATATGGTTGACAAACGAGCACACAGTCCACCTGATGGTGAGTGGACACTATGACCCATAGACATTTACATTTATCCTCGATTAAGAATCAAAACGAAGATGCGTTGTCAGTTTTCAGGACTAAGATGGAATGCCTTATTTCCAGTGAACTATTTTCTGAGATGTGAGCGCTGTTAGCCTATGCGACTCTTACAGCCTTATCTGACTCAGGGCTGCTGCATCTAATAATATAGCTGCAGCGTGGCTCTACGATGTATAATTTTAGTTTGCAGTTTTAGTGAGTAGAGTAAGAAAGCTAAAGCAATTTGTATAATTACAAGTTTTAAGACACATTGAGTCCTTTATACTTAGACATAGTCCTACCAACATAGCATAATTTCAACAGGTAAAGGTTTAAATACAATATATTATGCAGGTATAAGGCCAAAAGTGAATTGAAGTAAAGTAGTACATAGATTAATGCATTTCGATGGCATTGTATATAGAAAATTAAAAACATAAGATATAAAAATCATTTAAATATTTAAGATAAGATTTAAATATATAAAACGATGACCACGAAACAAATACACCTCAGAGTATCAACTAGAAAACAGTATATGTTTTTGAAGTAACAAGATAAAAAAAAACTTCAATAGTCGCCCTACTTTTATCAAAAATTAATCAAATTACTACTACTTACTTACAATCTGTTACAAATATTACCCAAAAATTAAAATATATATTTATACGTTGAATTTCCTTTATATAATTTTGTTGTACATATTTTTACAGAAATGAAACTGCTTATAGTTGATGATCAAAGCTATGAAATACCCACTGTTAAAATATCTGATAAGAAGCGGAATAGTAGTTATTCAGACCAGAAGCAAGAAAAAGATTTAAAGTTGTCTGTTACAGAAGACAGAAGTAAAGGTATTAAGTAAGTAGCTTATTATTATTCTTACTTGTTCGTATTTCTGTACCATAAACCACCTAACAGGAAAGCTTTATGTTGCATATACATTTTTTGCAGGGAATTGATATTGGAAGCTCTGGACGTGTCCTTCATAAAATCTTTTTTGCTTTCGAATGCGGGGTTAGGGGTAGCTATATGTATATCTGATGATCTTATTTTTACACTTGTACTCCCACAAACATTATACTCATTAAACTGGACAGAAGTGAGTATCAATATCATTATTTTTAGTTGATTGTTCAGTTTCGCAGCATTTTTATGCATAATTTGGTTATATTTTAGGGTGAAGTTGCGTGGGCTGTATCTTCGGCCTGTTTAGGGGACTTAGTGACCAGAGTTATGTTTATAATTTTCAGCAATTGGTTACTGAGGTTTGAAAGCCAACAGATTTACATTGCTGGGTTGTTTGTGGCTGTTATTACTAGGATAGGTATTTATTGCATTTGTTAAGTAACTTGTATATTTGAACAATTATTAAAGAGATTATCTCAAATTCAATACATTCTTATTTTTCAAGCTAGTGAAATAATATGTAAATGTATAACATAATATGATATATAAGAGAAACGTCATAAATTCATACATAGATTAACAACACTAAGAATAGAAATTATTTGAAAGATCTTTAAAATAGTGGTTTAAAAATGATTAATTTTGAAAATTGTGTAATTTTTTGTGAGTAAAAATTACATAATGTCGTTTCGTTTAAAAAATACGTAGAAAATCCGACCACAGAAATCAATATCAATAACTTAGAAAACGTGGGGCATAATTTCTAATATTGTATATTTTATAATTTATTTAAAATACTAGGTCAATTCTTATACTAAATATACAATGAATTATGAGAATTAGCAAAGATAATTATGTATACATCTCTATTTAATAATAATATTAATTTCAGGAATATTGGGATCAGAAAATTATACTACTATTATAATATACCTCGCACTTTACGGAACATCGCGGTGCATCATAGTCATTCTGATACCACTAGTAATCGCTGAAGCGGTACAACCGGAGCAGTTTACGTCAGCTAATGGAATATTTATGTTACTCTTCGGATTTGCTAATTTATTGTTTGGGCCAGCTATTGGTAAGACCTTTTTAGTTTGTTTTTTGGACTAGTAATAATTCGTGCAATAGTAATTTCAATTATTATAATTTATAGCAAGTTTTTGTAAATATCGTTATGAATTTTTCTGTTTGCAACTCCGAGCATTTACAAGGTCCCTTCTAATTTTATAGTTCTATGTTTATGACTAAAAAATATTGATAGAATTTGTGTTTTGTGCAGTATTTAGATGTTTTTGATATCACTATTATGGTATCAAACACATCTAATCTAATTAAACTATTCTATATCGTTACCTTTATAGGCACTGACCTTTATTATAAAAGTACGTCAGACTGGCTATACACCGTGATATAATGAGGCGATTTGATATTCGCCATTTTGGCGCTGATAGTAGAAGTGAGCGTCCACGGAACTAATTCTAACAGAGATAGGACAGTGTGACAAAATATATCGATAAAATTTCAATACTCAGGCCTACCATTTTATTTATGTTTCATTTTATTATAAAGCCCTACAGTAAATAAGTGTATCAATTAATTCTTATGTCTTATACCCAAGCTTGATGCCTCATATAAAACAAAAATTGATGCTGTGTTATGTAGTCTATTTAAAATTTTCTTCCTAACTATAGAACGGGTTTTGTTCCGAGCTCCACCATTGGGTATGTATGGTTCATTCGAGAGGTTTTAAAAGGTCCAATAAGTAGGAAAAGCTGGAGTAGGTAATTACAAAATGAAAAAATAGTAGAGGATTTGTTGTCAATCATTGGTAGTGGATATTCTCAAACGCCGTGTAGTATATTCTCAACCACCACTACACGGCGGTTAAGAATATCCACTACCCCATATCTTCTCGTGTGTGTCGTAAGAGGCGACAGAGGGAGGCAGGGAGGAGATGGGCAGCAGCATCTTCCTAATAACAGTAATTATACAATAAGAACTGCGGTTGCCAACCCGCTCGCCGAGCATGGCAACTATAACAAACATTCCCCCAAGAGCGATGACACAAACAAACGGCCACCAGTCCCCGGTGGCCCCGCTATTTTTAGCTACGGTGGCAACCTTGATAATGGCAGGGCAGGGGGCCTAAAGAGCTCTGATGGAGGTTCGGTTGCCACCTATGACGACTCGACATGGCAAAATAAAACGCACGCACTCACCAGAAAATCCTGCTGCTGGAAGAAGAGGTAGATAAATTGCGTTTGCATATTACAGGATTATCCGAGGTCCGAGGAGAGGAAGAGGACACGATAATCCTTGCATCTGGCAACTTGTTCTAACACCGGGAGGGCGACCATCTGTCCCAAAGAGGTGTCGGATTTATTGTCTACAAGTCTCTCATCAACAACATTGTAAAGATTGGGAGTGTGTCGACGAGGGTTGCGTACCTGATACTCAGAATCACCAAACGATATTCGCTGAAGGTCATACATGTTTATGCACCAATGTCGGCACATCCCGATGCAGAGGTGGGAAATGTATGAGGATATCTCTAGAGATATCCTCATAAATCTCTACACTATACATCTCTATATCTCTTCACATACTCATACACCTCTAGAGATATCTCTAGAGATATCTTTATACATTTCCTGCTGGAGGAATACATGGCTCTAGAGCTATAGGTTCCTCCAAAACCCACTATACGGTGTTGATGAGAGACTTCAACGCAAAACTAGGCACAAGAGAAAGGGGTGAGCTGAAGGTAGGGAAATTGGAATCCCTATTTAGTTACCCGTTACCCTTAACGGAACCTAAGTGGTCCAATTCATGGAAAAAGAGGGATTCTTTATGATGAGCTCTTTTTTCCAGAAGCGGCCCCACAGGAAGTGGACCTGGTCGAGCCCCGACGGTTCGACAAAAAATTAGATTGACTTCATTATGATGACCAGACGCCAACTGTTCAGTGATGTCTCAGTCATCGCGAGGATGACAACTAGCAACGATCACCGAATAGTTAGAGGCACACTGAACCTAATCGTTAGGTTGGAGACGTCTCTTCTAATGTAGTAAACGCTCCATCACCCTTGTGCACTAATCCAGGATCCCGAAAACTTCCAGCTCGAATTACAAAATCGTTTTCAGTGCCTAGAAGACTGCAATACAGTGAACGATATGAATGATAAGCTCGTGGAAACTGTCCATGCGGTCGGAGATAAGTTTTGCGAGACCCGCCGCAGAAAAATACAAAAACTCTCTGATCAAACTCTTAATCTCAGGGCTGTTAGACGGGATATGAAACTGCAGTCTTTAGCAGATTTGACAGCATATAGGCAACTGAATAGACAGATCTCCAAATACATGCGGCGGGACTTATGCAACTTCAATACAGCTCGAATTGAAGAAGCGATTAAGCGGAACCAGGGCTCCAAAGTCTTTGCCAAATATCTGTCTGCCAGAAAGAGCCAACTGTCAATGCTGAAGACCGAGTGTGAAAGCATTATTTCCGGGACACTTGAGATTATTGGGTACATGTCTTCATTGTTGCAAGTGTAAGTAACGACCAAGAGCAAGTCCGACACAATTCCGATTATATCCCGGACGTCAGTCTGAGCGAGGTTAGAATGGGTCTCCAGCACTTTAAAAACAGCAAATCCCCAGACGATGATGGAATTACAGCGGAGCTTCTAAAAACGGGTGGAAAATCGGTACTTGAAGTCTTTCAGAAGCTTTTTAATGCCGTCCTCCATAGTGGCACTACTCCCGAGACGCGGAGAAGAATTGCGGCAGTCTTGTTCTTCAAGAAAGGTGACAACGCTCTCTTGAAGAACTAAAGACCGATATTCCTTCTGAGCCGCGTCTTTATGCTGTTTTCGAGTCATAACAAACCGTCTCGAACGCATACTAGACGACATCCAGCCCCGGAACAAGCCGGTTTCCGAAAAGTCTTTAGTACCGTAGACTGCATACATACCCTTCGGTAAATTATACAGAAGACCGAAGAGTACAGTCTATTACTTTGTCTGCCGTTTGTGGACTATGAGATAGCCTTCAGTTCCGTCGACATTTGGGCGGTGCTACAGTCCCTTCAGCGGTACCAAGTTGACTGTCGGTATATCGAAAGGCTGAAGTGTTTGTACGGCAGGGGTGCGATGGCTATCTGAGTTCAGAACCAAAATACGAAACCTTTCCAACTGCAGAGAGGTGAAGAAAGGGTGATATAGTCCTTATAGCAGAATCGCTGGAGGACCTAAGCACTATGCTTCAATGACCTCAATAGTGTCTCTCAACGGATAGGTCTTAAGATGAACATGGACAAAACAAAGATCATGTGTAACGTCCATGTCACACCTATGCTGGTAGTTATTGGGAGCACTAACCTTGAAGTTGTTGATGAGTTTACCTGGGACAAATAGTCCGACTAAGTAAGTCCAACTTCGGCCAAGAGGTCGATTGACGGATTCAACTCGGCTGGGCAGTGTTCGGGAAATTATGACACATCTTCTCGTCAGCTATACTTCAAAACCTGAAAACGAGACAGTACAACCAGTGCGTGTTGCCAGTGATGACTAATGTAACTGAGACGTGGTCCTTCACTGCTCGCAATGTTAGGACGCTCAAGGTCGCTCAGCGAGCTATGGAGAGGGCTATGCTCGAGGTTTTTCTGCGAGATGAACTTAGAAATGAGGATATCCACAGTAGAGTCAGAGTGATCGACATAGCCCAACTGATTAGTAAGCTGAAATGACTATGGGCTGGTCATATAGCTCGAAAAAACGACCACCGATAGGGAAGGCAAGTTTCTCGAGTGGCAGCCTCGTATCGGTAGGCAAAATGTAGGGCGCCCCTACTAGATGTAGTGAATTTAAATATAAACTGTAAATTCCCTTACTAGTGGAATGTTACCACACTTCCCTTCTGGTGACAAATTTCACATCATCATTGTTACTAGAAGTACTTTTTTATATAACTAACATAGAACATAACCGAACTAAACAACACACTCTTATTCTCGTCTAATAGTTTAAAATACTCATAGGCGTTTTGAGCAAAACAACGGCCATTTCCAAATCGTGTCAAAAATATTTCCCGATACACTCAACGGCGGCGCTTCAAATAAGCAGAAACATTTTGTAGGGTATAGCCAGTCCAACGTACTCATAAATACGGAGATTGTTATATGTTTATAATTTACCAAATATTGTTGAAATCTATGATATAGGAAAATCTTACAATCCTACCTTATGGAGTAGGTCTACGACCAGAAGTTATTAAGTGGATGAGTATTATTTGAGGGCCCGATGAAACATGCTGGGAGTCGATGGATGCAGAGAGCTCAGGACCTTATTTTTTATCGATTTAACGTGACCAAACTTGTGACTAGTATAATGATGATGATAGTCAGTACAATAATTTTGTAATAAAAATCATTTCTTTATATATATATTTTTGGTTTCTTAATTACGCTTCATCCTGAGGATGCTGGATATTAAGCTGAATCCGTTACCGTTACCGTTACAGCCTATTAAAGTTCACTGTTTAATGTAGGCCTCATACATAGATTGCTACATAGGGGGATATTTGCCACAGCTATCACGCTTGGCAAGCGGGTTGGCAACTGTGGTTGCGCTTGACACCCAAGCCGAATAAGTTAAATGTTGGTTAATATATAATGAAGAAGCTAATTTAGCAATAGGTTTTCAAGGATTCGTAGCATTCTACTTTAAAAATAAACTGAAGTGCCAAATGAACTTCCAGTCCACCTGATGGTAAGTGGCTAAGGCAGTTCGTGGACACCTGCAGCCAACTTCATACAAATAATGCAGATGCGTTTTTAATCATGAGGACTGAGATGGAGTACTTCACAGCCTGTAATACCTTGCTCTGTATACCCTTCACATCAAAACACATCAATACAAGCACTGCTATTTAGCTGTAAAAATAGGTAAGAGGGTGGTATCTACCCCTACTCCTAGAAAGAAAACAGTAACAAATATAGTGTATAGCCTCACTTTACATAATTTTGTATAATAGGATATACGTGATAGAGTCACACTGCAGTTATATATATATTATGGTTGCAGCACGAAAGTGTCGGCTTGATCAGGGTAGGTAGGTAAGGCTTGATCACATAATAAAAGCGTAAAATAGCAGCTTAATGCTACTGTGTTTCGCATGATGAGTGTAGAGAATCAGAGATCCTTTTTTCTTATTCATTTCATCTTAGTTCTCAGGATTGACAACGCATCTGCATTTTGATTTTTAAGAGGATAAATGTAGATGTCTATGAGCCACAGCATCAAACTTACCATCAGGTGGATTGTGTACTCGTTTGTTACCCAGTTATTCTATAAAAAAGATACATAATATATAATAGGAGGTCAAAAATATTATAATAAATATAATATTTAAGAGATATTTCACAAAAATACCATAGATCGTTCTATATTTTGCGCATTATGACAAAGGGGCAAAATATACTTATTTTAATAACCATTAAACGCTTTGTTAAATATCCAGCAAACACGAAGTAATCATTCATACTAAGCAAATAGGTTTTATCAACACGATAAGAGTTGACAGCTCTTAATTATTCTGAAAATATAGACATTACATTACATTACAGTACATTGTTATTTTCAATACTTGATAATTTTTTAAACATTTTTAATATTTATTTTCCATCATCATCACTACAGCAGTTTAAAAAGTTTACTGCTGAAAAAAGGACTCCCCCAAGAAATACCACAAAGTACGGTCCTGAGTCACCTGCAACCACCGACCATCTGCACCTCTTGCCTCATTTATCCATCTAATGGGCGGCCGCCTTACACTTCGTTTGCCGGCACGAGGCTGCCACTTCCAAGATTCTAGTAATCAAGTGCCTATTGTCTTAAAAGAACACTATTAATGTAACTAACAATAATAAAATTGCCGTTAACTAGTATCAGAAAGCTGGATATGCCAGTATTATGAGTAGTTCATGACAGTAGTCGAATGGCTGATTAGAAACTATGACTTTCCGAGTTTGCTTTCCAAACCCTAAACCTACTATCAATTTAAATAAACATTAAACAACCGATTATTAAATTTCATCGACAATAATATACATTTTTCGTTTTATTAAAGTTTGTTGTTTTGTTTTAATTTAATTGTCTCTAGTGATGAGGGACTTTACATAGCTTTCAAAGGTCCTAAAAATTGAGAAGCTAATTAAATAGTCCTTCATATATATATAACACGTCGTCAAATTTTAACAACTTCACGGATTGACTGCAAGTTTCAATACCAGAAGGCATTAAGTTTATTAAGGAAATACAATCAAGAATAAATAAATAAATATTGTTACGAGCTTGAGGTTCGTGACAATAAAAATTGCCGATAGAATTACCTAAATTAACACTTAAACACAAATTAAAACTTAAAACACCAATAATTAAGCACACTAATTCACTTTATTCCGCTCCGAAGCTTCGCTTGTCTCGCCGAATTCAATACTTCCCCGATCGCACCTTGCAGCGCCTATAAATACACCTTAGCACCGAAAAATCCAGAACATTCAAGTAAATACGCGCGCCAATCGACTAAGCATCGAAAGTTCGAGTGTCGGGCTTCTAGAAGCTTAGTTCTTCGTTTCGACAACAGATGGCGCTGTCGGTTGAAAGATTAGTGATGTCATTTTCTGGAAAGCTCTCTCCTCGACACTAGATGGCGCTAGTGCCAGATGTCAACTTAGCCGCGCAACAATATTATTGAAATTGACGGTTCTGAAAATGATACAATGTTTTCATTTCACATCTGATCTTAATGAGAAGTAGGAAATGACCCTAACTAATTAGCGCGGTAATTATCACCAGTAAATTTATTTTCATTAGGTTATACGTTTTTCTATTCAGAAAAGAACTTCTTCATCCTCTTTCCAGATGCACGATTTTGTATTTTCAACGAAAATTTGTAAGTGCAGGTTGCTTTAAGGGTAGCCTAACTGCATAAAGTTTTGATTTTATTGCCATTTTTTAAGCTTTATCAGTATACTTGATAGAGATCGTAATTCACGCGGACGATCAATCATATTAACAAATAATGAACCGCGTCAATAATAGAGTATTGATGAATTATTTAGCTTTGAATCGTAACGAATACTTTTACTTGCAATCTAGCCCTTTCAAAACTACTCAATCAATAGTGAATTAGCTTAACGCGAGGGAAGTAATTTTTTCTTAGATAATACACTTTGTTTTATTATCTGAATTGCTACAAGCTTCAACCTATTAACGTATATTGACGGTATAGCCTGCTTTTTCTTAACAAAAACGTCGCGCTAGACAACTTATTATGTTTACACTTTACAACAAATGGTTTGGAATTGATTCATTTTCGAGAATTTCCAATGCATTACGAAAAAATTTCTTCGAATCGCATCAGTTAGTTAGTTCTCATTAATCTCAACAAAGTCGTAAAAAATTCTCGGCAATGGTCACTACAAAATTTCGTTTACCTCATCACGATCCAACCGTACTTACGCGAAGCCAATATGCTGTCTTCAGTGGCTTACTTACGGGATGTGCGGGACGCCACGGGAGGAGTTTATGTAGTGAAATTATACTTAGATGTTACCACTTATAACAATTTATGCAAATTATGGTCTCAGTTTCAATCAGAATTATTGCTTATCTCAGATTTTAAATTAAAAATGGTCTAGTGCTCCAGAGTCGGGCCCAAAAATCAGTTATTGAGTGAAATTGAATGAAATTTTAAATATACTGTGTTTATAAAATACTTGCTAAGTAACTGAAAATTCAGACTTCTAGTTTTATCCACAACGAAGTTATTGGGGTCGAAAATGGCTTGGACTGCTTCGAGAAAAGAATGGTACGGCCGTGCCGCTTTTTTGCTCGATTTGGCGGAGGCACTGGCATACCCTCAGATTTATGGGCAACAACGTTTTTGCCTACCTATCGACCCTTCCGAATGTGTTCGTGAGCAGTAAAATCAGTTAAAATAATGCATTGCCACGCATTTTGAATTTAAGACATATAAAGGTTAAAATGTTTGAAATCTTTTTAATTAATTTTTCTTCACCTTTTGCCTGTATTGCTTATTCTGAACCCTTTGTACAAATTTGGCTGGTTACTACAAAATAGTCCTGTATTTTAAAAAATATAACTTTTGAAATTCAAACATTTGAGCGGCCGGGGTCGCAAAACTTTAATTGTGCCCTAGTACTGGTGACCGTAAATGGTAGCTTAAGCTTAGATAGTTATGCTCGGAGTTTCTCTGAGTGATAGAATTCGTAATGATTCAGTAAGCTAAATTAGCAATTTTTTGGCCATGTGTCTTGGAGAACCGATAACAAACGAGGAAGAAACTTTCTCGAGTGGCAGCCTCGTGAACGACCTTTTATTCTTCGAACTTCTGCATGTCTTTTGCAGGAAGTCGGGATGCAGGAGATTTAGAACCATGTTTTGAGGCGTTTCTTGTTTTCATCAATTAACTGATAAAAGAATGTCATAATTTCTAAACTTATTTATATCTGTTCTTTTTCGTAGTATCTTTTTAGTATATCCGCCTGTGTTTCTTTATTATTTAAAGAACTGATTTTGGCTAGAGAAAAAATTATGTAAATGTTATCCTAATTCTAATGCAATCATCCAAAAAATACTAAAAATATTTTTGAGCATTACTTATTCATTTCCTTTTATAATTTTTCAGGTGCAATTCGAGATTTGACCGGCAGCTACGCGACGGCAATATACGTCCTTACCTCGTTCTTCGCGATTGTAATAATATTCTGGATTATAGAAATATGTTACAAAAAGAACAAGCATAAAAGACAACCAAAAAAGAATGAACCAAAGAAATGATGATGTCTCAAATTAGCTGTTGTCAGTTTCTTTGTATTGGTGTTCATCTGAATTGTTCATTTAACAGTCAATGGGTTACTGTGAAGCTTACTAACATGAATAAAACACACTGCGGGGATTATGTAAGAATCCCTATATATAAGTATATACCACTAGTGTTATTATTATGTGTAGGAATAACCGTTTGAACGATAGTCATATTATTCATAGTTTCAGGTATTATTTTTCGGAAATGTATTATAATAAACATGTTAAAATTAATCAAATATTATGCAGATCTTACCAAATTAATTTTTAACATCTTTAATTTAATGGAAATTTAATGACTTAATTTAATTTAACTTAATTTAAAAACTGAAAACTTAATTTGCTCATATTCGCGTAATATAATAAAATGATGTACCCTACCCAGTCTGAAGAGCTCCTTCCAACCCCATTGAATTACATGTACTATCTCCGTAGCCACCACTCCCAGTACCATCACACCCAAGACCACTATAATAGGGACGACACACCACTCTCGATAATACGATAAGTGTTTCGCCTCTACACGAGGCATTCACAGATGAAGTAGTCTCTGCGGTGGCTGAAGGTTAAGTGAGCGGCGAGCCGAAACAGTTGCTATTTATACAACTCGCTGATCAACGAGTTGTTGTATAATAAGCAGCATGTGGAGAGTAGAAAGAGTGCTAGGAGTAGTGGTGATGGGATTAGTGGTGACGAAGATAGTGTCAGCCTCCGCTCCTCCTATTATCAAATGTGATGTGTGTTCCTAGTTTGATGGTACTGGGAGCGGTGGCGCTGGGAGTGGTGGTGTTGAAAGTGGTGGTATAGGGGATAGTGGAAATGAACAAGAACACACACACACACACGCACGCACGCATGCACGCACGCACGCACGCACCCACGCACGCACGCACGCACGCACACACTCACGCACGCACGCACGCACGCACGCACGCACGCGGACGCACGCACGCACGCTCGCACGCACGCACGCACGTACGCACGCACGCACGCACGCAAGCACGCACGCACGCTATATATTTAATTGTATAATCAAATGCAATCCATATACTGCTTATTATATTATATTTAATGGCTAGTGTGGAAACCAAGTTAAACGAATTTTGAAGAATAAGGTAATGTGTGTGTAATGTAAGTGTAATGTAATGATCCTGGACAAGTTCTTTTACTAAGGAGTGGTGCGCGTTTTACTGAAAATTATAGATTTAGATGTCCACACCACACACGGCCCACAGCAACCACTAACCAATACGTGGACTGTGTACTCCCTTGTCACCTTATCTCATAAAAAATATATATTATATAATATAAGCGGGCTTTGACAAATTTCCTTATGACCTGTGTTGCCCTAGCCTAAGCAAGTATGGTCAGCAGCTTGTGGAAAGGACGTGCCAGTCAGCCTGTAAGTGAAACAGGTACAATAGTTAAACAATCGAAATATTCATATATGATTCATGGAACAGGGTAAGGATTAAATATATTAATTTACCAGCACATTATACGTTTTCACATGATTACGCCTTTCCATTTTTATTCTTATGCCAGTCGAAAGCAACCTGTCAGTCTGGACATTTTTATCACGGTTAACATTACAATATACCTATATTTACAAATCATATTCTGAAAATTTGTACTAAAAATACACGTGATTTTGGATAAGGAGGAGGGGGGGTTAACCTAAAACCTCACTACGTATTACCAGAGGGAGAAAGGGGGTTAAAAGTTTTTAGTCTGACGTGACGTTCACGATATTAAGCCTTAGAGTCACAGAACACTATCTCAAGTACCTACAGGGTCTTGAGGAGTTGATCTTGGTAACTGAGATACTGTTTCTATGTGTTTATTAATTGCATAACAATTATCTTTAGAGTGTGATATCCACCAAATGATTCATTACTTACGTTCGTCGTTGAGGAACGTGTATTCTACCTTAGAGTAGAAACCTAGCCCTATTGTAAAGTTGTGTAAAGTTCACCTCGTTTACCTCTCAACCTCTCAATAAGCTCTGCTAATTTGAACAAAACATGTTACCTGGCAGGGTAAAATGCAGGGTGCACATGAATTTCTTTATATTTAATCACTTTATTTATTTATTTATTTTTATATTAGTATATATTTTTACATACAGTTTTCTACTTCGTTTACCAAGTACACTCAATTTTTCCAGGCTATTAAAAGTCAGGCAGTACCGTTATCGCTACACCTATTAAGTCCACTATTTTTATGTTCTCTTTGGGGATTTTCCTTGCTGAACGGTTCCTTAGTTGTTATTAGGATACGGATAGACGATGTTGTCCATCTCCTGATTTTTTTTCTCTCCGTCGCCTCTTAAGTCACCCACGTGATGATATGGAGTTGTGGATATTCTTACACCGCCACTACACGGTCAGGCAGTACATTTGTCAACACTTACTTTTCATGTTCCACTAAAAAAAATCTTAAATTCAGGAAAGTAAACAATGTACCTCTACTATGTGATAAAATTCCACACATTTTAGCAGAATATTGACTATTTTATCATTTTCGTAGTAAATTAACCAACGTTATTGGAAATGGAGTATTCCGAAGATTAACCGCCTTCTCTTAAGGTTGCAGTAAAAAACTGTTATCTGGTTGCTTCAAGTTCAGCTACGCCTTTATTTGATCGGGCGTGATCGGATGTCAAGACGAGAATAAATTAACACTAATTAGCAGTTCTATCGTCATATGTAAAAAAGGCGATATCAACATTCCTCTGACATTGAGGTCCCTAACCTATGTATAACTTCAGCCCAAATGCAAGCGAATGTTGTATATATTTTATCTTAAATCTATTAAAGAGGATGTTCTGACCCATAGCCAAAACTACTAGACGAAGAAATCTTAATTTAAATAAGGACAATAACTGCCTTTTATGACGTATACATTAGCTAAGAAAGGATTTTTCGAAATTCAAGCCTTCGGTGGATGAAATAGGGTGTTATTGGCACATATGAAAAGTTGTAAAATCTTTAATCGTTTATGTGTTGCCGTATAGTGGCGGCATAGGAATATCTACTGCCCAATATCATCCCGTGGGTGTCGTAAGAATCGACAGAAGGAATCTGAAACAGGAACAGGCAGCAGTATCTTTCTGATAAAGCACTCAAAGAAATAAATAAACTGCAGTTACCCGTTTGCCAAGCGTGGCAACTATAGCAAAATCGAGGCATCTATGGGAAGCCTAATTCATATGTGGACTTTTATAGACAGTAATGGATAGATCTTCCTTTTAACAACCGAAAATAATATAAAACTTCGTTTGTCAACCAGCCTGCCAAGCGTGGTAATTATGGCAAAACCAATGAAACAATCTATCTGCGAGGCAAATGTTCGACAGTCGATTTTTGGTACACTGTAATTAACGAAAAATGAATGCCTGCTGTCTAACAAGTAAATAAAATAAAGCTTCTGACATAAGAAATAACGCATGTTTTTTCGTTTAAATTCATTCATGTTTTGACAAAAATCACAGTTTGTGAATTTGTGATAAACTAATATTAATAAACAAGTGTTTATTTAAATTTCGAACATCGTTATATTTTGTTTGCATATCCTAAATTTGGTGAATTATTAGAAGAAAAGAAAGGGAAGAAAGGGGGAAAAAGGAGAATAATTTAAATTATTTTTTTTTTTTAATTTTAAAATTTTGTGAAAGTGAGTCAGGTGTGTTTTTCTTTTAATAAGCCACCACGACGTTGTCAAACACACAATAAATTGTATACCCGTCATTCATAATATTTTACCCAGAAAAATTCATTCAAGTTTGGTGTTTTTGAAATTAAAAATTCTAATTTATACAGACAATTTACTTTTACATCGATTTGCTTGTACGACGCTATAAATTAGAATGTCGATCGCATGAATATTATACAAAAAATTGTCTATGGTTTTATAAGTTAGCATGCAAACAAAATGTGAACGATTTTGATTTATAGTATCATCTGTAGTTCTGTAAGTTATTAGCTCAATAACAATGACTTTTTAAAAATTTAACTATCTTAGAATAATTTTTAAATAATAATTTGGATCCTTTCCAATTCCACCTACTCTGTAGTGGTGGTGTAAAAATATACATATCAAATATGCATAATATATCTTATATCGTTCCGTGGGTTTGTGACAGGTGACAGAGTAGACCAAACCAGGATTGGCAACAATATCTTCTTAATAACATTCATATCCATATCATCATCATCATCATCATCATTACAGCCCTTCACAAGTCCACTGCTGAACATAGGCCTCGCACAACTAATGCCACAAAGCACGGTCCTGAGCCTCTTGCATCCATCGAATTCCCGCATGTCTTACCAGGTCGTCACTCCATCTAATGGGGGTCTCCCTACACTACGCCTACTGGTCCGAGGCTGCCACTAGAGAACCTACTTGTTTTTTTCCCCATCGGTTATCGGTTCTTCGGGCTATATGGCCGGCCCATTGCCACTCCAGCTTACTAATCCGTTGGGCTACGTCGGTCACTCTGGTTCTACTGCGGTTATCCTCATTTCTGAGTTTATCACGCAGAGAAACCCCGAGAATAGCCCTCTCCATAACTCGCTGAGCGACCTTGAGCGTCCTCATACGGCCAGCAGTGAAGGACCACGTCTCAGATACGTAAGTCATCACTGGCAACACGCACCTAGTTGTGCAATCTAGTTTTCAGAGTTTGAGATATCCATATCATATCCATAATAAAAACCGGCCAAGAGCGTGTCGGGCCACGCTCAGTGTAGGGTTCCGTAGTTTCCCGTCCGTCACAATAAGTGTACCCACTTATGAGTTTAATGGTGGGTATCCATTATGTTCGCGCTCCAGCGGCGCTCCGCGCTCCTGCAACTGCTCCCGGTAGTGGGTACTGTTGTTTCCATCCAAGTTCAAAATAATTTTCCTAGAAAGTCCTTATAACGTTCTACTTTTCAGATTTTTTTCATATTTTCTAAACTTATGGTTCA